CCCCCCCCCCCCCGGTCACAGCCCGGGCCCAGGGGTGGGGGGGGGGGTCAGGAACCGCCAGGGCGAGAAGCCGCACCTGACATCCTAGCTGGTGACTACTGAGAGACTCCTCTGTGGGCCACATCCTTTCCGCCACCTTTGTGAAGGTGCGTGCCCGTGTTCCAGGAAGGGAATCCGATCGGCGCAGTGGAGGGTCTGCCTCAGGCTGCCCGTCTCCTGGGGGAGACCTCAGAGGGACAGCAGGGAAGATGGCGGATCTGCCACCCACCCTACCACACGCGGATCTGCCACCCACCGTACAACACGACCCGAGCCGGTCCCTCCGTTCTGCCCTAGCAGGGCTGGGCAGGACAGATGGAGCCACGGGGATGGGGGGCGGGGGCCCCACCTGTCGCTGCCGGCGGGCCGGGAGGGCGGGGCAGCCCCATCCATTGTCATCGCACTGGCTCAGCGCTGCTATATTTAAGACCGTGCAGGCTCCGGGCTCACATTCTTCCCCCAGTTCCCGCTGAGCCGAGGGCAAGAAGACGCCAAGGACCCTCTCAGCCTCTGGAATCTTCTCCCCAGGGACCCCTAAGTGGGCACAGCTGCTTCCGTGAGTTACCTCCAGAGATCCCGGAGGGAGGGATGGCTCCAGAAACCGAGACCCTCTCAGCTTGCCATGGGGAGTGACTTCTGTGACGCACACGTGTGTGTGCATGTGTGTGTGTTCGTGTGTTGGGAACGGGATCTAGGAGGTCTGTCCTCAGGTAGCACCCCAAGTGAAAGTGGAAGGGACTCCCAGAACCCCTGCCCCATCTCCCTGTCCCATGTGGTCCCTGGGTTTTCCGAGCTAAGTCCTCTGTGATGTGAAGGCTAGAAAAAGACGCTTGGAGCCGCCCTGGGGGCTGGAGCCGTGCCCGCGCCTGGGCAGCCATGCACACCCTTGGAGAGCTGGCAGCGGCAGGCCCAGAGCCGCACCGGTGAGCCCTGCTTGGCTGCCCCGCAGGCAGAGGGACAGCAAGCCCTGATCCCAAATCCGAGAGCAGGAAGGGATCCCATCCAGCCCCAGGTTGGCCGGCAGGAAACCGAGGCCCAGACGGGCCAGGAGTCTTCCGCTCCTCAGTGGCCTTTCAGGAGCCGGTGGACCCCCCAGGACCCCCACCCCGCACAGCCGGCCTGTCGTGAGCTCTCCCAGGAGCCCAGGATCCTCCTGGGGAAGGGGAGAGGCCTCGCCGGAGTGCCAGTCAGAGGCTGGCAAAGCAGGTTGAGGCTTGGGAGGAAGGTGGCGGGGTCGGGGAGGCCACACGGTGGGCTCTCTGCCCCAATTTTGGCACCCCCAGGAAAGGACACGGTAGGTTCCCTCCTGGCATGCATCCCGCCCCCTCCCTGAGTTGCACAGAGTGTCCAGAGAAGAGGGCGGAGCTGCAGCCTTGACCCTGCGTAATCCCTCGCATCAGTCACCACTTTAAAAAGAATCCATGGCTCATCCACTAAGGCTGGGGGTCCGGCTGGGGAGGCCCCGAGGTCAGGGCTGAGCGCCAGGCCCGGCCGCTGTGCTAATGGAGAGCAGAGCCCCGGGGAAGGGAGCCAGCGGCTGGTGCCAGGGAATGTAACCCTTGGCCACTGGGCCAGGGCCACCGCGTCCTGTGAAGCCTCCCTTGGCCAGGGTGGTAGCCAGCAGCTCGCGGGGACTGTGAGGAGGAAAGGGCAGAGGAGCAGGGCTGGCCCTTCCCAGGGCACACAGCCTCTTCGTCGCGTGCGTCCAGATAGGAAGCCAACACGGTGCAGTGCCGTGGGTGCAGCTAAGGTGTCTGCAGAGCCCCGCGGGGAGCCCTGGGCCCCACTCACACCGTGGCTCCCCTCCTCTGGAGGCTCACACTGTGGATGCCCACTGAGATCGGCGGCCGCAGCCTGAGCCCCGACGCCCATGGCAGGAGTCTCTAGTGAGACCAGTGGGCTGACCTCCCGCGTCCTGGACTGAGAGAAAGTCACCAGTGCCGTGACCACAGCCCGGCCAAAGGCCACCTCCGTGCCCGTGCACAGGCACGCTCCCCCACCCCAGGGCAGAGTGAGCTGGCAGGAGCAGACGGAGATGCAGCCGCGGAGGCAGCTGTGTCGTCTGTTCCTTTCCCCGCCCAGGCAAGGCGCCCCCAGCTCAGAGGCGCGCCCAGCACAGTTCCCACCCGGAGGGGTGGGAGAGCCACTTCAGGGGTCCCAGCAGTCCAGGGCTGCAGATCAGAGGGACCAGATCTGGGGGAACACTTGGTGCAGAGCCCCGAAGCCTGCTCCCCACCTGCCTCTCCCTGGCTGCAGACAGCCCGACCCCAGCCTCCTCCACGTCCATCTGCTCCATCCCTCTGGGCACAGCCTGTGGTTGGACTGGAGCCTTGGGAGATGGAGGAGGCTTCGTGCCTGGTGACCCCTCAGAGGAAGAAGGACAGGTGCCCGCTGGGCCTGGCCTGCTATCAGTGACACGGAGGTCAAGAGGCCCGGACCGGGCAGACCTGGGTGCCAATTGTGGCTCCACCACCCAGCGGCTGGGCAGGAGCTCGAGGGCTAGAGAGGCCGGCAGCTCCCACGCCTGGGCCTCGCTCCGGCCCTGCCACCGGAGAGAGCCTCCCTGCCGAGCCCAGGCCAGGGATGACCGCAGACCTTGGCCCCCACAGGTTGTCGCTCCGGCAGCCATGACTCTGCCTCACAGCCCTGGCAGCGTGGGGGAGCCCCGGGCCCCCCAGGCCGTGGAGGTCCACAGGCTGGAGCACCGGCAGGAGGAGGAGCACAAGGAGGAGCGGCAGCACAGCCTGCACATGGGCTCCTCCGTGCGGAGACGCACCTTCCGCAGCAGGTGCCCGCCGCCCAGCCCGCCTGCGCCCTCTGAGGGGCAGCACCTGCCCGCCGGGGGTGGGGGTGGGGGAGCC